TTCGCATTTGTAAACACTGGCTATGGTTTTGGTTCGATTCTGGACATTAGTAGTAGTAGTGAGCAGTGGCACCATACGCTCAAGTGAGGGCGGCTCAGACCATACATGGTTCGCATTTGTAAACACTGGCAATGGTTTTGGTTCGATTCTGGACATTAGTAGTAGTAGTGAGCAGTGGCACCATACGCTCAAGTGAGGGCGAATCAGACCATACATGGTTCGCATTTGTAAACACTGGCTATGGTTTTGGTTCGATTCTGGACATTAGTAGTAGTAGTGAGCAGTGGCACCATACGCTCAAGTGAGGGCGGCTCAGACCATACATGGTTCGCATTTGTAAACACTGGCAATGGTTTTGGTTCGATTCTGGACATTAGTAGTAGTAGTGAGCAGTGGCACCATACGCTCAAGTGAGGGCGGCTCAGACCATACATGGTTCGCATTTGTAAACACTGGCAATGGTTTTGATTCGATTCTGGACATTAGTAGTAGTAGTGAGCAGTGGCACCATACGCTCAAGTGAGGGCGGCTCAGACCATACATGGTTCGCATTTGTAAACACTGGCAATGGTTTTGGTTCGATTCTGGACATTAGTAGTAGTAGTGAGCAGTGGCACCATACGCTCAAGTGAGGGCGAATCAGACCATACATGGTTCGCATTTGTAAACACTGGCTATGGTTTTGGTTCGATTCTGGACATTAGTAGTAGTAGTGAGCAGTGGCACCATACGCTCAAGTGAGGGCGGCTCAGACCATACATGGTTCGCATTTGTAAACACTGGCAATGGTTTTGGTTCGATTCTGGACATTAGTAGTAGTAGTGAGCAGTGGCACCATACGCTCAAGTGAGGGCGGCTCAGACCATACATGGTTCGCATTTGTAAACACTGGCTATGGTTTTGGTTCGATTCTGGACATTAGTAGTAGTAGTGAGCAGTGGCACCATACGCTCAAGTGAGGGCGGCTCAGACCATACATGGTTCGCATTTGTAAACACTGGCTATGGTTTTGGTTCGATTCTGGACATTAGTAGTAGTAGTAGTAGTGAGCAGTGGCACCATACGCTCAAGTGAGGGCGGCTCAGACCATACATGGTTCGCATTTGTTAACACTGGCAATGGTTTTGGTTCGATTCTGGACATTAGTAGTAGTAGTGAGCAGTGGCACCATACGCTCAAGTGAGGGCGAATCAGACCATACATGGTTCGCATTTGTAAACACTGGCTATGGTTTTGGTTCGATTCTGGACATTAGTAGTAGTAGTGAGCAGTGGCACCATACGCTCAAGTGAGGGCGAATCAGACCATACATGGTTCGCATTTGTAAACACTGGCTATGGTTTTGGTTCGATTCTGGACATTAGTAGTAGTAGTGAGCAGTGGCACCATACGCTCAAGTGAGGGCGAATCAGACCATACATGGTTCGCATTTGTAAACACTGGCTATGGTTTTGGTTCGATTCTGGACATTAGTAGTAGTAGTGAGCAGTGGCACCATACGCTCAAGTGAGGGCGAATCAGACCATACATGGTTCGCATTTGTAAACACTGGCTATGGTTTTGGTTCGATTCTGGACATTAGTAGTAGTAGTGAGCAGTGGCACCATACGCTCAAGTGAGGGCGAATCAGACCATACATGGTTCGCATTTGTAAACACTGGCTATGGTTTTGGTTCGATTCTGGACATTAGTAGTAGTAGTGAGCAGTGGCACCATACGCTCAAGTGAGGGCGGCTCAGACCATACATGGTTCGCATTTGTAAACACTGGCAATGGTTTTGGTTCGATTCTGGACATTAGTAGTAGTAGTGAGCAGTGGCACCATACGCTCAAGTGAGGGCGGCTCAGACCATACATGGTTCGCATTTGTAAACACTGGCAATGGTTTTGGTTCGATTCTGGACATTAGTAGTAGTAGTGAGCAGTGGCACCATACGCTCAAGTGAGGGCGAATCAGACCATACATGGTTCGCATTTGTAAACACTGGCTATGGTTTTGGTTCGATTCTGGACATTAGTAGTAGTAGTGAGCAGTGGCACCATACGCTCAAGTGAGGGCGGCTCAGACCATACATGGTTCGCATTTGTAAACACTGGCTATGGTTTTGGTTCGATTCTGGACATTAGTAGTAGTAGTGAGCAGTGGCACCATACGCTCAAGTGAGGGCGGCTCAGACCATACATGGTTCGCATTTGTAAACACTGGCAATGGTTTTGGTTCGATTCTGGACATTAGTAGTAGTAGTGAGCAGTGGCACCATACGCTCAAGTGAGGGCGAATCAGACCATACATGGTTCGCATTTGTAAACACTGGCTATGGTTTTGGTTCGATTCTGGACATTAGTAGTAGTAGTGAGCAGTGGCACCATACGCTCAAGTGAGGGCGGCTCAGACCATACATGGTTCGCATTTGTAAACACTGGCAATGGTTTTGGTTCGATTCTGGACATTAGTAGTAGTAGTGAGCAGTGGCACCATACGCTCAAGTGAGGGCGGCTCAGACCATACATGGTTCGCATTTGTAAACACTGGCAATGGTTTTGGTTCGATTCTGGACATTAGTAGTAGTAGTGAGCAATGGCACCATACGCTCAAGTGAGGGCGAATCAGACCATACATGGTTCGCATTTGTAAACACTGGCTATGGTTTTGGTTCGATTCTGGACATTAGTAGTAGTAGTGAGCAGTGGCACCATACGCTCAAGTGAGGGCGGCTCAGACCATACATGGTTCGCATTTGTAAACACTGGCTATGGTTTTGGTTCGATTCTGGACATTAGTAGTAGTAGTGAGCAGTGGCACCATACGCTCAAGTGAGGGCGGCTCAGACCATACATGGTTCGCATTTGTAAACACTGGCAATGGTTTTGGTTCGATTCTGGACATTAGTAGTAGTAGTGAGCAGTGGCACCATACGCTCAAGTGAGGGCGGCTCAGACCATACATGGTTCGCATTTGTAAACACTGGCTATGGTTTTGGTTCGATTCTGGACATTAGTAGTAGTAGTGAGCAGTGGCACCATACGCTCAAGTGAGGGCGGCTCAGACCATACATGGTTCGCATTTGTAAACACTGGCTATGGTTTTGGTTCGATTCTGGACATTAGTAGTAGTAGTGAGCAGTGGCACCATACGCTCAAGTGAGGGCGGCTCAGACCATACATGGTTCGCATTTGTAAACACTGGCAATGGTTTTGGTTCGATTCTGGACATTAGTAGTAGTAGTGAGCAGTGGCACCATACGCTCAAGTGAGGGCGGCTCAGACCATACATGGTTCGCATTTGTAAACACTGGCTATGGTTTTGGTTCGATTCTGGACATTAGTAGTAGTAGTGAGCAGTGGCACCATACGCTCAAGTGAGGGCGGCTCAGACCATACATGGTTCGCATTTGTAAACACTGGCTATGGTTTTGGTTCGATTCTGGACATTAGTAGTAGTAGTGAGCAGTGGCACCATACGCTCAAGTGAGGGCGGCTCAGACCATACATGGTTCGCATTTGTAAACACTGGCAATGGTTTTGGTTCGATTCTGGACATTAGTAGTAGTAGTGAGCAGTGGCACCATACGCTCAAGTGAGGGCGGCTCAGACCATACATGGTTCGCATTTGTAAACACTGGCTATGGTTTTGGTTCGATTCTGGACATTAGTAGTAGTAGTGAGCAGTGGCACCATACGCTCAAGTGAGGGCGGCTCAGACCATACATGGTTCGCATTTGTAAACACTGGCTATGGTTTTGGTTCGATTCTGGACATTAGTAGTAGTAGTGAGCAGTGGCACCATACGCTCAAGTGAGGGCGGCTCAGACCATACATGGTTCGCATTTGTAAACACTGGCAATGGTTTTGGTTCGATTCTGGACATTAGTAGTAGTAGTGAGCAGTGGCACCATACGCTCAAGTGAGGGCGGCTCAGACCATACATGGTTCGCATTTGTAAACACTGGCAATGGTTTTGGTTCGATTCTGGACATTAGTAGTAGTAGTGAGCAGTGGCACCATACGCTCAAGTGAGGGCGAATCAGACCATACATGGTTCGCATTTGTAAACACTGGCTATGGTTTTGGTTCGATTCTGGACATTAGTAGTAGTAGTGAGCAGTGGCACCATACGCTCAAGTGAGGGCGGCTCAGACCATACATGGTTCGCATTTGTAAACACTGGCAATGGTTTTGGTTCGATTCTGGACATTAGTAGTAGTAGTGAGCAGTGGCACCATACGCTCAAGTGAGGGCGAATCAGACCATACATGGTTCGCATTTGTAAACACTGGCTATGGTTTTGGTTCGATTCTGGACATTAGTAGTAGTAGTGAGCAGTGGCACCATACGCTCAAGTGAGGGCGGCTCAGACCATACATGGTTCGCATTTGTAAACACTGGCTATGGTTTTGGTTCGATTCTGGACATTAGTAGTAGTAGTGAGCAGTGGCACCATACGCTTAAGTGAGGGCGAATCAGACCATACATGGTTCGCATTTGTAAACACTGGCAATGGTTCGATTCTGGACATTAGTAGTAGTGTCCAGACCAGTCTTCAACATCCTCTGCCCAAAATCGCAAGTTTTTTGGTCGCGCTGCCCCTTGCAAACTTGTGTGTTCTAGTTCTACTTCTTGGGAGCGCCTTTTCTGGAGCCGGGCTCAACCCCCGGCCCTTTTGTTTTTAAATTCACCCTACCCCATTCATGACAAGCATTACCAATCACAAGTTAAAACAGTAAGTGCGGTATTGTCAAATCGACATTGCTCCAATCGTAACCAATTGCGCACAATTCAAGTTTTTAATCTGATTTCTGAACCAAAGGGGAACCACCGACAATTAAAGCTACAAAATGAATAATCTTATTGAGTCTTAAATACCGCCCAAAATAACCAAACAATTTTCTGTAGCTCTTAAGCAAGTGAACAGCTCGCATAAACAGTCTGCTTTTCTTAAACCATCAGTTGTGTTTACCGCAACTTGAAACAATTAAGTGTTAAGTTGAACGATAAAAAGATTTAAAAGTTCAAATTAAATTGAGCACTGCAGTATTTGGTCCACAATCTACCGGACTAAGGTACAAAAAGTAAAACAACAAATTAGCATCTAATATTTAAGGTTGAACAAGTTGAACTAAGTTGCAAAAGAAAAACTTGGGGTCATTTCAATTATAGCATCGAATGAATCTAAAATTAAGTAGCGCTTTTCAGTGAAGAGTAGACATGAAAGAAAGAGTAAGACTTCTAAGTAACAACTTTGTAAAATGAGGAAGACAAATGAGACTTGGATCGAACTTGCACGTAATTTAGCATAATTTGGATGACCGATCATACATCGAAACTCGAGGAAATTTGACACAATGAGGTAATAGCTAGCAAAACAGAACCTACACAGAAGTCTGCGTCAAGATGTTAGAATAAGTGGCATATATTAATTATTACAGAAAATATGTAACCCTTGGTGTTTAATCAGAGCGTATCTATTTTAAATGAACGATTGATTTGCTTTAAGCCATTAATTTCTAATAATTAAGTCGCAAAAACTCTTAAAATGTCCGATAAAATTACCACCTTTTCTACTAAACCTAAAATCTGTGTTCTAACTTTAAACTTATGATGAATGACTGCTTGATGACTCCGACTTGATCTTCTCTGGTTTCCGGGTCGCCCACGAAAGCCTCTCTTCGTAAAACTTGATGACAACATGTGGGCACTTTTGGTTTGCTTCTTTGGCAAGAACGATATCTGTTTGGGGGCCCTCTTTCCACTTGATGAGAAACTTTAGTGTCCCACCATCGTCTGTAGCACCTACAATTTCTTCGGCTTCTAGTCCCCTTTCAAAACCATAGGGCTCTATGAAGTGGCTGTCATTGTCGGCCATCGCATATTTATTCTTTGTTGGCCTACTATAAAAACTTGTAATAATTCACCGCTAAAAAACGGCACATTGCCCTATTTTGGAATTAGTCACTTCTACACGTGGGAAAAACATCTCTGCCAATATAGCTACAGAAATCAAGTGATAAAAAGCATAAAATTGCAAAGAGCGCCACAGAATTGCAAGTCAATCACTTATTCAAACGAAGATAAAGAGTTTATTAGATGGAAGAAAAAATGCGGTGGCCGATTTGCATGTTCAAAATAGGGTTCTTCAAGATTAATCTTACACTAAAAATGAATTGAAATTATGAAGTGGCGTTCACAGAAATTTTTCTAGGGGGGCGGCGGTTTTGCAAAAAAGTTTGGCGGACTTTTTTTTAGGTCGATCAATTAGATTTTCCGAGCTCCTCCGAAAATACTACAAGGACCCTATTTTATCAAAAAAATTCTGCCCCTCAGACAAATTTTTCAAATTTTCCCTAAGCTCGATTTAGTCCCTTTTTGGCCAAATTTTCAGGCAAAATTTTGAAAAAAAACAGGCCAAAAAAGACGTTTGTAAGCACTTTTTGGAAAATTTTGAACAAAAAAACTGCGTTTTTCCGGCGCGCGCTCCCCCCTCAAAATTAGTTGGTCAGCTAAAAATGGGAGTCGTAATGTTATACGAAAGGCAGGACCAAATTAATTTTAAAAATCAGAACTCAAAAACTTTCATAATTAGGAACTCAAGCATTCATAATTAGGACCAAGCTATACAACGCCTGGGAGCACTATCACCGCACCACAACATAGGGTCGAGTATTTTAAAATATTGAGTTGTTTGAAGTCAAATTTTTTTTTGGAAATTTATGGAAAAATCATAGAAACGGCATATCTCGGAAGCTAATCGGATTTGAGCAGTCAAAATTGGAGGCAAGGTTTATCCCTCCAGTCAAATTGGAGGCAATCTTTGGATTCCTGAGTCCAAGGGTGTGAACCCTTCGTTTTTCAAGGTTCCCCCATTTTAACTCTAATTAACTTAACACCCTACAATTTCACTCCCTACTTTTTGTTGCCTTAGCAATATAACATCGCTACATTTTAAAACAATTTCTATGACTTAACACCGTTTTAATCCAAAATGAAAAGAAAACTTACTTCAAAGGGGATTTCGGTAACCATCAAAGAAATAAACGATAGAAATTTTTGCCATTTAAAGCCAGACAAATTTGCGCAACTTAATTCGCGTAAGTTTTGAATAGAAATGACCTTGCAAATGATTTCAATGAAACGTTTCAAACCAAAATGAAACGGCCTTACCAATATTTTCAATGAATCATTCCAAAATGAACCAAAAACAAGCAACAGTTCAATGAACTTCAAAAGCCCGCAAACAATTAGACGTCCTTTGACTAATATGGCCTAATTTTCTAGACATTTTCAGCCGGTATAGAAATTAAAAAAAGGTTTAACCAATGCCAAAAAACTTAAAATCATTATTTTTAGAATCATTCTCGAACTTAAACTTATGACCTGATCGCTTTGTCAGCTTTTTTTGAACTGTTGGCACATAAACGCAAAGCTAAAGGGTTTGCCAGCCCGTAGTCCCAGCCTAGCATCCCGAAAATAAGGACGATTGTCCTGGGATTAAATTGCTAAGGCACGAGTCATCTTCTTGCGTTTAGTTACGTTTCCGGGAGTCTGCAAGGAAACGTCTTTTCAAAAAAAGCTGACAAAAATTTCAGTAGGAATAAAATTTGAATTTTAATAATACGAAAGAATAAACAAAAATGAAATAAAATTTACAATGGTTTAACACAAGCTAGATAACGCTCTGAAAAAGTAGAGATCAGTTTTGTCTTCGTAAACGGACATTATGTTTTGTACTCCTTCATTTAATACTCGTTACTTTTTCTTTTTTGTGAACTTATGGCCACTCGAGGCATCAAAAAAGTTGAGTTTTTGTACGGAAGCGTCTTTTTGCAGGCTACCCACTACTTTCCACATATTTAGGCGGGCTCCGCTGAAAAATGATTGAATCCCGAAATGCCATCCCTCGACAGCATTTGTTGTTCGAGCAATCCCCATCACGGCCGCATCTCGCTGGTTCCAAAGGGAGGGTGGGAATGAAACTTCACGGTTTGACACCAAGCTTTGTATATAAGTAGAGCCGAAGTACAGACACAGCTCGTCAATTTTCTCAATTTTTTCGGGTTCTAAGCAATTTCTGTCGCATACATTTTGAATTTCCTGAACGATCATGTCAAAGGAATCGCCGATCTTTTCTTTTTTTTCGAATGCAAGGGATGGCAGCATTTTTAAAGCCAGCGCTAAGTCGTGATTTGTTTCGTAGGCCACTTTCAGACCCAATTCATTATTTTTTCTCATGTAACTCTGGGAGAGATGGAAAAAACAACCCGATAAATGTGCTTCGGGGAATGTTTTTTGGAAGGACTGAAGAGCAGCTTGCTCAAAATCTAACAAAATTTTTTCAGGCCGGCAGTTGGGTGCTAAATCAATTAAAGCCTGCAGGAAGCGATTGTAGGTTTTTTCGGTTTTGTTAGGGAGGAAGGCGTAAATGCAAGCTGGCGCAATGCCAGATACACTAACATGAATTGAATAAAGCTGGTAGAACATTTTTGGAGTAATTTTGAAAGTTCCATCGGCTAACCAGAAAGATGAATTCTCCAGAACTCTCAGCATTTCGGGGTCGCCGCACAAAATGATTCGCTCATGATCATTTGATCCAGTCATACCAGATAAAATTTTCAAAAATTTCAGGGATCTCGAAATTTCGCGCAACGCGGATGGGCGGCATATTTACATCTAGCTGCTTACGAGTGCGAGCAGCCCTTCGGATCAGTTTGTTTTTATTTGGGAGAGCAAACTGAGTAGCCAAATCGTTTGTAATTGGCAAAACCGCACTGGCAACTGCAACAGTCGGGGTAAATCTCTCGCTGAGATCTTTTATATGCTTTATGACATTTCGGGCCTCCGATTTTCCCGCTGAAATGCCGTGGTTATGCTCTCCACGCGTCTCGATTAATTCGTTACTTTCAGTAATGGCAGTTGCTCGACATTTATGTGTTTGATATTTTGAGCAAATCCAGTTTTCTGTAAACTTATTTTTTCGCTTGAAATAAAATTCGTGGCCGGACGCTATAAGGATTGGCTTGTTTTTAGATGAAACTGTGAACTCGAAAGAAGACTCAATCATAATGTGTTTATTGTGTTTGCGTATGTTTATCACTTGAGTAAAGTATAAAGTGACTGCCAGAATTTAATTTTTGCCAGAATTTTTACATCAAATTGTTTTGAATTAGCACAAGCAGCTTTTTTAGTAATCATAACGGTTTAGCGAAATGTCTAATTGAAAATAAATTACAAACTTGTAGATAAGAGTCTTAAGTAAATTAGAAAGCCTCCTTTTAGCATGTATAACTAAGATAAACCAAGTTTTTCATTATGGTGCGTGTGTTAATTGCAGGATTAACTTTGGTGTGATAAGAGTTGAGATAAGGAATTCATACAGCATTAGATTTAATAGTGAAATGACTAGGTGTTAAAATGTACTGTACTAAACTGGAAAATAGGAGTTATATTGTTGTCTATTTAAATTGTTTAGTAGTGAAATGACTAAGTGTTAAAAAGTACGGTGTTAAATTGTATGTCAATAAATTGTAGGACACCGTTTTTCAATTAGCTTTAATTTTTGGCGATGGGTTCCACGATCCACAGGATCACAGTTTACACCAGGTACACGTGTCGAGTTAGTTGTAGCAGTTTTCGAAGAATTAGAAGTACACTTCTGACAGTTTTTCCTTTGACGGTTAGTCGCCCAATTGTTTATAAATTAGGTTTAAAAACTCTTTGTTCTCTCGTTAAAAAGTTTTCGTGCACTTTTCGAAGGCGATATTTACAGAGCTCGAATTCATTACTGTCTTGTTGTACTGGTCCTAGGTGACATTGGGAGTGCGACGACTTAAAATTGTGTTTTCCCTTTATGAAAGTATAGAGAAAAATCACATCGTGAAGTTCAAATTATACTGATAGAGCTTTTTGTTGCACTTTTTTGTCATTCCTCTCGTTTCAGATTTTTATGCATAACAGACCTGAGATCAGGGGCGGATTTGGGGGGAGGGGACGCACGCCTTCTCTCCTCAGGGATTCGACCACCTGCCGACCCAAAGGGTCCCCCCTTTGGTACTTTTTAAGAAATCTATTTTTGGCCGACGAACCCAAAAATTTTTCCGATTATTTGTAGCTTTATTAATTCGTTTGATGATTAATTGGGCTGAATACTTTTGAGAATAAGCAATTGAAGAGCATCCAGTTATTTCGTTGCTGAACACTTTCTGTGGTACCTGGAGATAATTCGGAGAAATTTTGTCATGCAGGTATTGTCTTTTGTCAATTGATTTAAAGTATTGTTTAAGGCCACACATGCGTCAGCTCTGGAAAACTTTTTCTTCAATTCTTGCGTGGTTGATCAGGGTGACTATGTCTAGCGATTTCTCATACTTTCGTTCCACTGTCGCGACTAAATTCATTTGGCGTGAAGTAGGGAATCTAATCCAGGGCGAGAGTTTTACAACCCTTTAGTTTTTTGTCATCGATTAAATTTTGCAGCCAAAAATACCACTGCCTCCGAAGTACGTCCAAGTTGCTAGATTAAGACGATTTATCCACAAGAGAAATTGTAGATAAGGGTTTGTGGATAGGGTTTGAAAAGCTGGTTGACGTATCTGTTCATAAATCATACCAATCGGTCTTGCTGTGTGCCGTTTGTAGCTTAGTTCTACATGACGCAGATAGTAACAGTCTTGGTTTATAAGCGAGGTGATCCGAACACTTTTCCCGGATTGATGAGTACAGGGTGTCAATTACCGTGTCTGCAGTGGCGCACAAAACGAGCTTCGGATCTGAGACGAGAAACACATCAAGCTTCATGCCATCTGTGCATAGTAGCAGTTGTTGAAGATCATGGATCTAGTGTTTAGTACAGCCGATTTATATCAACGGTTAGACGTAGTTGCTGACATTGCTCATCGTGTAGATTCTTGCAATTGTTTCAAAAAACTTTTGAATACTTTGGGGCACTGCCCTATAGAGTTTTGTTTAGGGAGGTTAGATACTGCAAAAATAATCAGCTTGTAGCTTGATTTAATTTCGATGGTAACAAATCCCCAATTAATTTTTTAATTTTAATATACGTTATGCCCTTCACTGCAATAAGGACACCTCCATGGGTCGTGTGCATTATGACTAATGCAAATAACGATCCAATCTGTGCATCGCGAATTCTGGGAAAAAAATGGCGTCGTCGAGTACCACAAAGGTGAGCTCACTTTCAATTCACATCCTACTGCTGCATTAGAACTGCATTTGCGAAAGACTGTTAGCAATTTTTTCTGTTTAGTCGTTGTTCTGGTTCTGAAGGGACATTTTCCCAGGCATCTTTGCCGTATATGCTTTCGATCATTTTTCACCTTTGATTCAGGGCTTCGTTCTCGATTTGCTGTTTGTCTGAAGATAGTTTTTACTCATGTACACTTGCTTTTGGTAGGTTTTCAGTTTGTAAACAGACAGTAAAACAAGCCGACGCTGGTGTTCGAGAGTAGTTTTGATGAATGTTCGACCTTTGTTACCATCGAGGCTCACTACACACCTACCGTCCTCGATCGGGCGTTCGATGATGAGGAACTCTGAGATATTTTTCTTTTATTTTAACAAATGTTCTTATCGTTCTATAGATTTGACCTTTGATTCCACAATATCTTGTGCGTGCAAGCAATCGCTTGTTTTCTTTTTCAATTTTTTGGAGGCTTTGGAGTTCTACCAGCAACAGCATCACTGGCATTGGGAGGCACGATATCAATCCTCAAGGAAACTATCTGGTATCGGATACCTTCGAAATTCTTGATCTTATTGTGCAGAGGTTGTAGCAGGGACTTGCCTTCAACACTTTCCACTATTGGCTTTATGTCACCAATTTCTATTGTGGAGACAAGTTTGTCGAGCATACGATCTCTTTGTTTTAGGTGGACCCAAGTACTGCAAACGAGAAAGAGGTTTTTGCGAACTTCACTGAACGCGAAACTGGAACGTTCGTTCATTTTAGTGCATTGCGTGATTGGATGCATCGCCTCACCGCGTTCCACATATTGGAAGACAGCTTTCCTGGAAGTTATGGGCTTCGTGTAAGTCATGCAACAGCTATTCCACTTATTGGACGACATAAGTAAGTGAAAAGAAGGAATGAAATAAATAAGGAATTAAAGACCTCGAGGTATCTGAACTTTCTAGGATAACTAATTCCTATTAATGCACCAGTGAGTTGAGGCTTTGCCAGCGAGCTTGAAACGTAATAATTTTACGGATTACATAACAATTTCACATGGGGATCACAATGTAACATTACGATAAACATTGGGATTATTAGACAAATATTATTAACCGGATCATCAGTCATAAACAAGGGGTCTAGGACAACAAGCCGACGGGACTTCAAGCTTAAGGGACTTCAAGCCGAAATTAAAACTTTACAAGCACCCCAAAACGCTATTTTATCATCTGCAAAATGTTGCTTTACTAAACTTTTGGCAAGTTTGGTCCATAATAAGCGTTATTCATGACAATGCACCACTTGTGATTCGCATCCGTTAATAACATCAGCCGGTTTTTGAAATGCATAAATTATAAACATGAAAGTTTATAAAATTCTTCAAGAAAGTTTTCAAATTGTTCATATTTCACGACTTTATAAGGAATTATTCGGCTGGAAGTCCCTAATTTTACAATTCGACTTGAAGTCCCGTCGGCTTGATGTCCGGCACCCATAAACAAGATACACAATGATCATTAGGGACTATAGAGTTGCAAAAAGTTGGAACAGACACAATTAATTGAAAAAGAGCAAATGACCTATTTCAGAAAATTTTTGCATGCAAAAGCATATTTTTCTGACATGAAGGATGTCTCAAGGCCACCAAAATTTCGAATTTGCATGCAACAATTGCTCCAAATTGGTATAATGCTCTTTACAATTATTTCTGTTTGTTCCAACTTTTTGCTACTAATTATAGCTATTTCCAATGATAACGAAAGATCATACCCCCACCCATTCTAGCGTCAGATATCTATACTCCTCGTACATCTTCACAGCTGACTTTCTGAACGCTGAATAAATACAGTAACGCTAAAGAAATGTTCAGTTCAAGATTAGCTTCGGCTCAAGACCCGCGTTCTTGACAAAAAAAACATTCAATCTGCATCGCAACGGCAATTGTAAACATGGCTCGAGTATAAATTGATCTATTTGAACCAAAAATTACCTTGTAGCATGAGCGATTGATTATCATTTTATTCTTGAGCTTTCTTTTACTCGAAAATGGCTTCTGGTCTGATAGTAATTCGCCAGACATTTTATTACTTACTTTTTCGTGGCAGCTAGCTTCTTCTTTTTCTCCTTGGCTTTCGCAGCATGTCTTTGTTTTTCAAATTCTTCTATGAGGTCTTCACATGCAAGGTTTTCTGGTGGCTCCCATGTATCGTCTGCAGGGCCGTAACCTTTCCATCGTAACAGATAATACACTTTGCCATCTTCATACACCACTTTATCTAAAATTTTCTCAACCTCTAGATCATCTTCCTCAAATTCTGGCGCATCCTCAACAGTCTTCTTAATGTTTGCGTCGTTTTCTTTAGCTTGAATTTTCTCTTCGTCAATTAAGTCTTTTTTATCTTTTTGAAGATCTGTACAGTTATTATTCTTCTCATGATAAACATCAGCCATTTCAATATCTACCATTTTGATATTCTGAAAACGAGAAAAAAAATTAAAACCAAGTTAATAAAAAATATTATTCCGAAGGTCGTAGATCTTAAGAGATGTTGGCTTCAATTCATAGTTAAAGAGGTGGTGTATGTCGTGTCATGCGGACTAGCGTTACACTTTGGGCAGTTGTTTTTCATTTTTTTGTCCAATCTCGACATTAAGCCATTTAGTTGGGAGCTAAAACTATAGCGGAGTTGAGCAAGAGTACGTTACGTCGTGAACTTCTGGTAAGCTGTTTTCTTCCGAAGCGAGTACTCTTGCTCAAATCCGCTGTGGATATAGCACAATTAAATAGCCTATGTGAAGATTGGACAAAAAATCAAAACAACTGTCCAAACTGTAACGCTCCGCATGACATACACCATCTCTTAAACTACCCATTGAAGCCTGTTATAATTAATGTTCTCTATTTAATGATGCTCAATGTGATAAACTTATTAAATAGGTTTATGTTGAGTAGTCTTTGATTGAAAGAAAGCTCTTTTATGAACCCGGGTTTTATCACTCCGTCAACACGCTAAATGCAGAACAAGCAACAGGTTATGGGCCCAGGAGACAACGACAGACGAGGATTCAATAACGCCAAATTGAATGGGAGCAGCTAGCGCGACTGGGCGTGGTACACCAAATTGTACCTATTAAAGCGAGGACTGTTTGAGTACGCGGATGGCAGCTTGGAAAGGCCGACTGATGATAGCCGTGCTGACTAGATCAAGATGGACCTCTGGAGGAATATCAAAGTTTGATCGTTTCGGTTGACGTTATGGGAGAGGATAAGATATCCTTCAAAATTGTTTAAGTAGTTGCTGGCTAGTGGGGCTGAACGCCGTCAGTTTCAGGTGCAATTGTGGGGTTGCCAAGGTGGCACAGAGGAGCGGGCCTAGGAAGTTCAAGGGTCACTGCCATAGATCATAGGCTCGAAATTGCAAGGACATTGACCGCGGCAAACAAAGCAACACCAAAATTGTTTGCCATCGGTGCACAAGTTTGTAATGTTGAAGACGTGCCAAAACCACATGGATCAGCGAAGATTGCGTCCGGGTGTGCAGAGTCAGTTGTCGCAGAGTCAGTTGTCAGTGGAGTGCGAACTGGCTCCAAGTCGCAGGATAAGACTACACAACGTGTTGCTGGTGTCGAAGCTGGGAAAAAGTTTGCTCAGTGTGTCGGCAATGTCTTAACAAGGCGCAGAGGTGTCCTTTGAGGGGAACACGTGCTTCATCAGGAAGGGCGGAGAGGTTGGGTGTGAAGGGACGAACCTGGCGGGTTGTTCACGTTGAACTTGAGTGGTGGTGAGGCGCGGGTAGCATTCTCGCAGCAATCAGTGGAGCTGAGGCATCGCCGGTTCGGTCACTTGAACGTCCAGACTTTCCGCAAGGCAGTTTTAGAAGCCGCTATCGAAGGGATAGAGAATGTGTTTGTACCAAAGTTTGAGTGTGGCGGTTGTGATGCAGGTAAGCAGCACAGGGAGCCGTTTGCAATTAGCTTTTCTCTTGCTGAGAAGTTGCTGGGATTTGTCCATAGCGACGTTTGTGGACCCTTGGAAGTTCAGTCGCTTGGCGGAGCGAGATATTTTCTCACTTTCATGGACGACCGGAGCCGGTTCTGCATGGTAAGATTTCTGAAGAGGAAGAGTGAAGTCCCGGAAGAATTCACGAAGTTAGTGGTGGAAGCGGAGAGAGGCACTGGCCAGAAGGTGTTGCGATCGGATAAGGGGGGCGAGTACAGGTCAATTCAATTTGACAACTTCCGGTCATCGCAAGAGATCAACCATTCATCCATTCCATACACCCCCCGAGCAGAACGGCGTCGTAGAGCGACTGAACCGAACGTTGATGGCAAGTGCAAGTTCGATGAAAAGGCAGAACGCCACAGGTTGAGAATCTTCCACACAAGCGGGAACGCAAGCCGGCGGTAAACATCGAGTCCTGTAGCGTAGCAAACATCGAGGAGCCGCAATCGCTCAGTAAAGCTCTTGAAATCGGAGCTGGAGAGCATTGGAAGTTCGCCGTCCAGGATGAGTTCAAGTCACTGGCTGAGAACCATACTTGCGAGCTCGTCCCACTCCCGAAAGAAGAAAACATTGTGGGCAAGCGTTGGGTATTCAAAATGAAATGGGACGCAAAGGGAAAAGTAGAAAAGCTCAAGGCACGTTTGGTGGCGCAAGGTTTTTCGCAGCGTAAGGGGATCGACTTCGAGGAGGTGTTTTTGACAGTCGCGAAGCGCACCAGCATCAGGGTGCTTTTTGCTCTCAGTGTGCAACTTGGTTGGCATTGTCATCAGATCGATATCAAGACAGCGTTATTGAATGGCAAGATTGACGAAGAGATACATGCGGCAACCGGAGGGGTTTGTAGACGCTCATAACCCAACGCACGTATTGTCGCCTCCTACGCAGTTTGCATGGGTTAAGCAATCAGCTCGGTACTGGAATGAGATGCTGCACCTGTTCCTGTTAAGTGTTGGATATGTGCAGGTACCTTCAGATGGTTGTCTGTATCGGAAGGCATCAGTTTCGGTGATCATTGCAGTTTATAATTTTTTTGAAGCAAAGTTCACTGACGGCGTGCTACATCGGTTTGGTATGGAGTCATCCAAGCCAGAAGCTACGCCTCAAGAGGTGAATATTGACAATCGTGGTGATCCGCACGGTGATATTAAGCAGGCAGTATCAAGCGTTGCTTTTTTTTTTTTTTTTTATTAGCCCCCGGCCTGCTCAGTGCAGGACCAACCGTGGGGGAGGGGGAGATTTCATCCATTTTGCCGCAGCCGGTCCCAGGTTGCTCGGGTCGTTGTTGTTGTTAGCCCACGCAGGTCGGGTTGGGCTCTTCTGTCTCCAGGTCAAGGAACTTAGCAACCTCTACCGGCCGAAGCCACAGGTCTGCTGGGGTGAGTGGGGAGGGGTTTTGGGAGCAGTTGAAAAGGTGACATGTTGTGTGGGGGGCAAGGGAACAGGTTGGGCAAAGGTGGGAGATGGAGCTGTCGAGGCGGGATAGGTAAGTGTTAAGGAGCCGGCTGTAGCCAGACCGGAGTTGGGAGAGCTTACAGCGCGTGGGACGTGGGAGAGATTTTTCAGAGTGGTCAATCTTTGGGGGAGGGATACAAATAACTTTAGACGGAGGGGTTTCGGCTAGGAACTTGGTTACAAGGGAGGTATGGTTGTCTTTTAAAATTGGTTTGTAGTAGTTAAAAATAAAAGTGGAGACTTCGTCTCGGTCGTCCAGAACTAGAGGGTGGTTTGCGTAGACTGAAAAGTCGGTTAAAATTTTCTGGGTGTCTTCTTTGAAGCAGCTTATAATTGAGGGGCGAAGTAGACGGGGAGGAGGGGGATGTGAATGTATAAAATTAATGGGATGGTGGGAACGATAGGTAGAGATAAAAAATTGAGATGACAGAAGGGTATGGTGGTCTTTGACCGTTAGGATTTCAGATTCACTGTGCAGGTGGGCAGTGGACCTCATTAGATTTGATCCAGTAACAACGCGAAGGGATTGGTTTTGGGCAACCTGCAGGCAATTTATGGAGGTGTTACTTGATGCGTGGGCCCATGCGGGGGCTGCATAGTCAAGTATGGGGCGAATTAAAGCTTTAAAAGTTAGGAGGAGGGTTTCTTTGGAGTGACCCCAGGTTGATCCTGCTAATGCCTTCAGGATTCCGATCCTGCGTCTGGCCTTTTCAGCGGATTGTTTGCAGTGAGTGGCAAAACAAAGTGTTGGATCAAATGTCACCCCTAAGATTGTTGGATTTTTGTTTAGGGGTAGCGCCTCGTTATTTAAAAGAACACTAGGTGTTTTATTAAATTCTTTGTTATAAGAGGAGAAAAGTGTAACTGATCCTTTAGAGGACGCGAAACTTAGTTTGCGTGAGGTGAAAAAATCGTAGAGCCTTTTTAGGTAGCTATTGATGGAGTTTGAGGCGATATCAATATTGGAACTGCTTGCGAAGGGGTGGAAATCGTCTGCATACGAAACAAGGTTTACATTATCGGGAGGTGGCGGTGCATCATGGACATAAAAATTGAAGATTGTGGGTGATAAAACAGAACCTTGGGGTACGCCACAGTGGATTATTCGATGGGGGGATGTGTGTTCACGGAATGAGGTGGCAGCCTGTCGACCATTAAGGTAATTACTTAGCCAGCGGACTAGACTTCTTGGGAGGGGAGTGTCATGAACGAGTTCCACAAGTGAGCGATGACACACCATGTCGAAAGCCTTAGATAAGTCAAGTGTGGCCAGTACCGTACGTTTAGGGGGGCGATTTTGGTTAAAACCGTCTGAAATGTAAAATTCGAGAGTGGAGAGAGCTGTGGTGGTGGAGTGAAAAGGGCGGAAGCCGTGTTGGTGTTTGGCGTTGGGGAGATGTTTGGTAAAGATGGGGTGAACGAGCCTCTCCAGAATTTTAACTGCTGGGCAGAGTAAGGATATAGGTCTGTAAGATGTTGATTGTTTAAGATCCTTATTGGGCTTTGGAAGCGGTGCAATTTTTGAATTTTTCCAAATTTGGGGATAATGTTTTCGGACAAAGAGATATTAAAAAGGTATGTTAAGTATTGAGTAGCAAGTGGGCCGAGATGTTTAAGATGTATATTACAAAGGCCGTCGGGACCTAGCGCTCGCGATGGTTTGCTGTCTGCAATGGCTTGTTTAGTATTTTCAGGGGTAAAAATTGGGCTGTCTGACAGCGGTAGTTTGGCAATTTTTCTTCTCGTTATACGAAGGAGTTTGTCAGAGGCGTGGGGTCTGGCATTGGTGAATTGTTTGTTAAAAGAGCTGGTAATATCACGAGGTGAGTGTATGGGTTTAGAACCAAAAGTAATGGGGTGTCTTCCTGCCACGGGCTTAGATCCATTTAAGGAGCGTACCACTTTCCAGAACTTTCTGGCACCAGTGCGGTAGTCGCAAGTCCGGAGGAATTCTCGCCATTTATTTTCTTTGTCCTTTGCTGTCTGTTTCATGAGTGTACAGTTCAGTTGGGATATGACTTCTGGGGGGAGATTTTGTTGTCGGCTTAAATCTCTTTCGGCGGCAAGGGCAGTGGACTCGGGGGAAAGAGAGGGAGTGAAGTGGCGAATACGGCCAGCGGGGATGTGGTGGCGTGCTGCCCTGAGCACTAGGTCCCTCAAGAATTTCTCTCCGGCGGCAACTCCGGAAGGTGGAACCGCTGAAAAGAAACCCTCCTCAATTTCCTCTGTGAATTTGATCCAATCTGCTTTTAAAAAATTTATAAAGTCCTTTTAGGTGAAAAATTTATAAAATCATCCAAGGGTAGTTCTAGAAGAATGGGTAGGTGATCTGATCCTAGAGATTTAATTGGGGTCCATGATGTGGAGAGTAAGAGCGATTGGGATGCGAGGGAAATATCTGGTGACGAGAGTTGGTTTTCTGAGTTAAAAGGGACTCTGGTTTGTGTGTCATCATTTAATGGTGCAAAGGTGGATTCGGTTAT